TTTCTTTAGTCACAGCTGAGAGGGTGATTTATGCTCCGGCGTTGGGCCGAGGTATAAACCGAACAGGTTGGGGGCCCAGCAGAGCATTGGGCCGAGATGATCGACTGTTCACCCGGAGATGGGCTACCAGAACTTGGGCCGGGCAGAGTTTGGACTGTGTTGGCCAAAAACTTTTTTTTTTTTTTTTTTTTTTTTTTTTGATTTCAGCCATTACCAGCCCCCCACGTGAAGGTGGGGGTTGCTGGGGGTCTCCCCTGCTGGGGGTCTCCAGCAGGGCTCTTTAATAAATCACCTCATGTATCCAGTTAACTCATGATTGTATAATGGGTTTTGTCACTTATATTTATCTCAAATGATATGATAACCCATGAAGTGAATATGTTTTGAAAATATATAAAAAAAATAAATTAAAAAAATAAATTTTTTCAATAAAAATATATTAAATTTAATAAAAAAAAATCTTATATTTATTAAACATCTTATTTTTTTTACTTATGCACTTGTTAGAAAAGACCAAATACGATATAAGGGAATCAATGGACTTGTGACCAACCAGATTGAACTTAAAATTAGATAATTTAGAAAAGTCAAAAAATCATATGCGTGCGGCAACGGGTAGGGGTGTAAATTTGGTTTGGTCCGACCTATGTCGGGCCTCGTGGGCTTTCGCCAAAATTTAGGCCAGATCGGGCCGGCCCATAAGCCAGAAAATTAGGCCTAGGTCCAAGCTCAGGCTCAGGGGTATTCAAGCCTTGGACGAGCCGGTGAGCTGGGCCTGGGCCTAGGCTCGGGGGCGGGCCTAAACAAAATTTTTTATTTTTTTATATTTATTTTTCCTACCAAAATTGTATTATTTTCCACTATAAAAAAATACTGGGTCTCGGACGGGCTAAGTCCCGGACCAAACCTTGAGTGGGCCTTAAGTCGGCTGATAGGCCAGGCCCACGGGTCTGGCTAAGTGAGCCAGGCCGAACATCAAAATGATGGCCCAGGCCTTAGCCTAGTGTCTCGGGCTTGGTTTGGGCCCAGGCCCACCCCAGGTTGCATAAGATTTCGGGCCACGGGTCATTTTACACTCCTAGTAAGGGGGCATGAATGGGCCTAATTGTGCCCAATAATAGTTATATATTGAAAGAAAATAAAGTTTTTTTAATTTTATTTTAAATAAACCACATTTATGCCCCCAAGAGGTATTAAAATTAGGGCCTTATAATGTGTGATTTTCGGGAAATCCTTACAGGTGCATAGCTTATGCACTCTACAACAAAAATGTATAATTTTATTATAAAATTTTAAAATATTAATGCCATCTCATTACAAATTAACGTAATAAAATATTTAAAATTTTATAATTGATGTTACAAAGTTTATGGTTGGTTACAATATTTTTTTTTAATGTTAATTTATAGCGAGATTATACATTTTGTAATTGATATTATAAAATTTTATAATAAAATTACATATTTTATAATAAAGTGTATATAATATGTACCCTTAAATGCGCATCATAGCATTTCCCCTGATTTTGAAGTACATGTATGTTAAATAGATTCATATGCTTTTAACTTATCCTTTATCATTTTTCAAAATCCACCTATAAATCGTAACATTTAGGCAATTAATTCACAAAATAATTATTATTTATAACGGTTACTTAATTTTCAGATTACCTTTTTCCTTTTATTTATTTATTTATTTTTAGGATAAATTATACAAATAATTTCTGAAGCTTACACACCATGTCAACTTGGTCAATGTTATTTTAATTTGCTCGATTTTGTCCCTTAATTTAACGGATTATGTCATTTTAGTCCAATAAATAACGATTATTAAGTTTGGTAGACGAAAAGTTAAGCTATGTGCCAATTTAGTTTATATAGTTTACACAATATGTCAATTTGGTTCCTATCAAAATCGAGCAAATTAAAACAATGAGGACCAAATTAACACATTGTAAAAACTATAGAGACCAAATTGACACATTGTGTAGACTTTCCGACCACTAAACTGAACAATCGTTATTTATTGGACTAAAATGATACAGTTTGTTAAATTAAGGGACAAAATCAAACAAATTAAAACAATATAGACCAAATTGACACATCGTATACATTACAGGGATCATTTGTATAATTTACTCTCGTTTTTTTTTTTTAAAAAAATTTTAACCAAAAGCTTAGTGCCATGAGAATGGTTTCCCATCCAATAGTTGAACAATCAAAACCATTACTTTTGGCTTCAATTTCTTTGACTTTTAAGTATTTAAAAAAAAAAGAAAAAAAAGAAAAGAAACTCCCACAACATTTGGCTTCGATGGCTTTGACTAATAAGTATTTTATAGGGAAAAAAAAAACAAAAACTCCAACTGGTCAAAAAGGGAAAGGGTCGTAGGAAGGATGAAGAATTACAAAGGAGGAGTTGGGGGACATTCATAATTCCCAATTGTTTAGATTCAAATGTAGTGCCAAATATCAATCCGACCAAATTGATTGATTGCCACAATTGCAATGTAAAGAGTGATTCGGTTGGTTTGTCGAAGAGAAAATTGCTAGTGTCTGCCAATCAAATTTTATGGATAATTTACAATTGGATCACCCCCAAATCAAGTCAAGTCAACCACTATAGGTTGATGATGGGATGTGATGAAATAGTTCAGTTCCGTCATCATGGGATTATCTTTTTTGTTTAAGATAACTGCTCTCGAGTGGGTGATTCTCAGTTTGAGTTACGGACTCAGCTTTATTTGGAAGGTATGATTTATTAATTTTTATGTAAATTATTTATAAAACAGTAAATTTATCTATTAATTGTAAGTATGTAATATAAAGACATTTGATTTCATAAAAATAAATGGTATGTTTTTTAAATTATATATATCCTCTATTTCATTTTAATACAAATGTGATGAAATTATATAATTATAATTATCGAATCAATCTGATTATTTAAAACATAAACTGATCGAATTATTAATGTAGGCGCAATGATCTAAACTAATGGATTGGAAACTATATATATACATACATAGGGAGATTTATTAGTAGAAGTAGATTAGAAAAGAAGAAACTACGTGGTGCAATAATAAAACTCAAATTCGAGCAATATGTTGGATAAGTGAGCGTCTTATCTTAACATGTGAACCCATTGGTTTTTCCCTCATGGATTGAAGAGGAAAAAAAAAAAAGGAACAATTCAGACGTCTTTCAGAAGTTAATCATGGCATGTTAAGAAAGAATGGGCCTAAGCCCAGACCCGTCATAAATGGACTAAACTTGAAAGCCCAGGACTTTCAAAACTGTGGCCTTATTCATCTTGGGTCAATATCATTTAAATAAGGGAAAATTATCAGAAAATCCTATTTTAGATTTTTTTATACCAATCAGTCCATGTTTTTTATTTTTATTTTATTAAATCCTAAAGTTTACACTTTTATACCCGGACGTCCTATTTTCAGTTTTATTATATTTTTTTGGGACCATTTTACCCTTATATATATAGCTACTTGTTTGAATATGATTTTTAGGAAGTCAGCGATCTGCGTTTGGATTCTCGATTCTTTGCAATTTCTGATTTCTCTTTGCCATTTTTGATTTTTGATTTGCTAGTTTCTGAAGCTATAGATTGGGCGCGATTTTGCGATTATTGAAGCTCTAGGTTTTGCGCGATTCGCAATTTCTGGTTTGTCCTTGCGATTTTCGATTTGCGATTTTGTCTGGTTTTCAATCGATATTCTAGAGAAGGTTAGTTTTTATTTGAGATTGGTGTTGTGATTGGTTCTGTTCTTCATTGTTCTTCGTCGTTCTTCTTCGTTTATCATCACTTTTGTTCTTCATTGTTCTTCGTCATTCTTCATCGTTTATCATCAATTGATTATAGTGATGTTTATGTCATGCGATTAGTGATTGATTCGTTGTTGTGATGAAATCATTGTGTTCATGTGAAATTTTGAATGATAAAGTTTTGTTGCATCAGTGTTTGAACAAACTATTGTTAAGCATTTAGTGAACTGGAAGTTCATGCTTTCAGTATATGAATTTTATAATTAAAATTGTATGTATGTGTGTATACTATGAGCTTAAAATTTGTTGTATGTGGTGTGCATGATGATAAATGTAGGGCTTATGATTGTTTGTTGAGGATGTAGAGTTTTTTTTTTATGATGTGAATATTTGAACTATTTAAAAATCCTGATACATTTCATTGTGTTAGCAAATCTTCACACATATGAATGTGATTGAATATTCAAATTATTTTATGTACTATTGATGATTTTGCAGTGTGATACGAGACAAATGGATTTTTTCATGTTGTTGTTGTGCTGTTATGGGTCAAACATGTTTGTGATAAATGTGGTACAATCATTTTCCTTTGACGAGTTAGTGAAATGTGTGTGCAACAAATGGTGTGATTTGTCTGCTGATTTAATCACTATGTTTTATCGACTGCCGGGGTATACGAATTGTCATTTGGATAACAATGAGGAATTGCAAAACATGTTATTGCTTGGTAAATCAATTGGAGTTGAACGAATTGTTGTTGTTGAGCAAAAATTGGGCACTAATAGACATAGTAGTTTAGCAAATCCATGCATTGAAGATGAGGATCAAACAAATTTGCTTCGTAGATATTGTGCGCACAGTGAGAAGGTTTTGTTGTCTTTAGTTTGGGCAAATGGTATTATGCATGTTGGTCAATGTTTTACTAGAGGAGCATTTGAGTTTCGTATTGTTTTATGCAAATATGTAGTGCAATGTGGGTTTAAATTCAAATATTTGAAGAACGATTCAGAACGAATTACTGCTGTATGCTCAGATAGAGATGATAGAGGATATTTGTGGTCTATGCATGGTAGAGTCCAAAGAGCAAACCAATTTTTCTACCTTAAGAGATGGACTAAGATACATAGTTGTGGTGCTGATGTTCATATTTAAAAAAATCCAAGGCTCAGCTCTGATTTGGTGTCAAATGTTGTATCTGAGCGTGTTAGGGACAGACCACTAATGCGCCCCGCTGATGTGGCATATACTTTCAAGGCAGACTGTGGACTTGATATCAGCTACCATGTAGTGTGGTTAGGTGCTGAGAAAGCGAGAGAGGCTATGCTTGGTGATTACTTAACATCGTTTGACCAACTGAGATGGTACGGTGATGCTGTTCAACATTATAATCCTGGAAGTCATATCAATATTGACTATGATTTGAAGACTAGTCAGTTTACAAGGCTTTTTGTAGCATTTGCTGTGTGCATAAATGGCTTCAAATATTGTTGCCCTTTGCTTTTTCTTGATGGAACATTTCTAAAAGGGAGATACAATGGGCAGTTGCTTGCAGCGACAACTAAAGACGGTAACCAAGGTTTGTTTAGCTTTTTGATGTGAAGTTTTATATTTGTTTACTTTTTGTGTGTGAGTTGTGACTGTTAACATTGGTTTTGTTTTTAGGATTGTTTCCAGTAGCCTTTGCAATTGTTGATTCGGAGAGTGAATCGAATTGGTCATGGTTTCTATATGAACTGTCAAAAGTAATTGCTGATGATAGACGCATGACATTTGTATCCAATCGTAATCTACGGCTTTTGGAAGCAATGCTAAAGGCATTCCCATCAGGATATCATGGATGGTGTTTACAACACCTAAAGAATAATTTTAGGGACAAGTTGAAGGGTATGGAAAATGGTTTCAATGAACACTTAATACGGAAGTTGGGTGATTGTGCATATGAACTTACTGTGACAAGTTTTCATGCATTACTAGAAGAGTTGAAGAGTGAGGGGAAGCAATAAGCATATAACTTCTTGTCAGGGTTAGAACCTGAACATTGGGCAAATGCTTACTTTAGGTAAAATGTATACAATTGTGTGTTTCATGGAATATAATGATGGTTATATGTACATTGTTTATATTTTTGTATTGTTATAACAATGTGAAATGTCACATATGGTATTAAATTGTGACAATTTTTGCTGTTATGTGTTAGGGGACAACGATATGGTGAGATGACATCCAATGTTGCTGAATCATTCAACAATTGGATTAAAGAAGCACGAAATCTTCCAATAACAAAATTGGTTGATACTGTCTAGAACCAAATAATGTGTCAAATGTCAGAGGGAAGGGATATTGCAAACAAGTGGAATGGAATTATTTGCCCTACCTTTGAGACTAACCTCCAAGATTCATTCAATTCTAGTAGGTCATGGAATGTGAGTAAAGCTAATGATGATGTGTTTGAGGTGCATTCGTTTCCATCAATTACAGTTGATGTTGGACGCTGTGTTTGTTCAAGTAAATGGATTTCCTTGTGAACATGTTGTTGCGGCTATCCAAAGGAGTGCATATAATCTTAATGATTGTGTTGAAAAATATTTTCATGTAGAGAATTATAGGGAAGCATATGCAGCGGCTATTTTCCCAATACCATCTATGGAGAAATCAGATTTTTGCTCTATCGATTTCATCATATTACCTCTAATTGTAAAACGGCCAGCTGGTAGGCCAAGAAAGAGTAGAATACCATCTCGAGGGGAAAAAGTAAGTCAAATCAGGTGTGGCAGATGTGGAAAGATGGGCAGGCACAATCGGAAGTCGTGTAAAGAGCCAATACAGAGTTATATTAGTTGATGTGTTGGCAAACATTGTGAATTTCACATTCAGTTTTGAACATTTACAGTGCTTTTTTTTTTTAGATAAATAAGATACCATTGTGAATGTTACATACATTTGCATTGGATACACATTTTATTAGTTGATACATTGGTATACTTGTTTTGTCTTTCGATATAATTTTTGAATAAGAAGGGATTCATTAATTCTATGTAATTTGTCATTTTGTAGTTTTTTTTTTCATTTTGTATATTTATGAAATAGTTTGTTTATCAGTTTTATCAAAATAAAATATTATCTTGTTACATATATACACAATATGTGTTGATGGATGGAATATGATATATGTTTTTGAACAGATTTGAGGTGTGGTAGATGTAAAAAGATGGGCAGCTACAATTAAAGTTGTGTAAAGATCAAATAATAGAGTTCATGTGAATATTATGTTGAGTTGTGAGTATTGATTCATGTGTTGGATATCGTTGTGAATATTATGTTGAGTTGTGAGTATTTATAGTACATAATTTGTTTTAGATAAATAACATAGTGTTGTGAATGTTACATACATTTGCATTAGTAAACAATTTAGTGGTTCATGTATGAGTGTACTTGTTGGTGCAAGCTTCTTAATGTGAATTTTCATATTTTGATACAATTTGTCAATAAAAAGTTGATTTGTTCTATGAAATTTGTAATTTTATAGTTTCTTTACATTTTTTTTTGAAATAGTTTGTTTTGATTTTTTACAAAATAAAATGTAGAAAAGTTACATATATCCCCAATATGTGTTGAAAGGGTGAGCATATGATATACATATGTAAACTTTCATGTTGTGTTGTGCTTAACAAACACATGTAATGACTAATAATACTCATACACCATGAATAAGACCAAGAAAGAACATTGATATTAAAAGTACATTTCTTGGTAGACGAAATGTATATAGCTATGCATATCAACATCTTTGTGGAATGATTGTTTACTGACTAACAATACCCAAGTTCACATGTTAGTGAGTAGTATATTATATACAAAACATATTGTACTTGGACAAAACCTGATGTTAACATTGTTTCATCAATACATCAAAAGAAAATGGTAGGGTGTGAAAATATGAAGTTTAGTTTTGAGATGCATCCTCGTTGGTGTCAACAACAAAACTTGGATGATTTGTTCTTTTAGGAATGCTTCAACTAACAGAGCTCTCATAGCAAGCCAAGCTTCCTTGTCCAGCACAGGTTCAATTGGTTCATGAAGGGCATGCTGCCTCATTATGTAGCAAAGTGCAACTCCGCAATTAAGACTGTAGGAGAAAAAAAAAATCAATATTTTCTTATATTCACATTGGTTGTAGCTACTATGTCAATAAGAATATTAATTGTGAATACTCACGAATTTGGGTCTTGTTGAGGGCATGCATTAACTGATTGTAATGGCTTGATATAGTCTGAGGGTGTTAATGTATCTGCCATATCCTATGTGGAGAGCAATTTCTGAATATGTGATTCGATATATGTTTTCTGTGATTGTGAATATGATTAGATGTGTAGAATAGATAATATTTTAACTACGTTGATATGTAACTAAACATGCACATTTTTTCATATTATTGAATGAAATATTGAAATTACCACTATGTTTGCTTGAGCTAGGTGTATATCTTCAAAACCATCTCTGGGCCTCATTGAATTGCAGTGCTTCCACACTCCATCATCCATGTTGCTCACTACTATGGTCCAATGATACTTAAAGTGGAGTGGAAAGTGCAGATATCGGTACTGATTTGCATGCTTGATGTGAGGATTAATGAATTTGGTTTGCAGTTTTGCTTTTTCATCGTTAATCATGCTCTGTAAACATTGACAGCACTTTGTGAGTAATGAGTTTTATAATTAAGAGATCAAACTTATTTTTAATTCAGGATAAAAAAAAAATAAAAAAAACAAATTATACCAAACACAAGCTGTTGAAAAAGAATGATTTGTCAAATTGTTGTGAATCTGTCATCATTGATTCCTGCTTTCTTCTTAAAATTTCTGCATATGCATCTATGACCTGTATATATTCAATGTTAATGTGATTATGATGTGAATGTTAATATATATAACCTTTAATGCACAATGTACAAAGCACCATACATTGTTTGTTATGGACTT